GCACAGGCAATCTGCTGTCCGTCATTTTGTGCGGTTTCACGTGCCATACCGCCTTATACTGCTGCTGCTGCTCGCTGCACTCCTTTGGTTCCTGGTGGCTGGGAAATGGATCGGCCTTTCCTGCCGCATGAACTTGACGTGACCATCCGTGACTCTTTGCTTGGCTCAGCCCCTGGCCCCGACGACATGTTGAATGAATTCCTGCACCGTCCCGGGCCCGTTGCGCATGGCACACTTAGAACGATGATCCACAACTCCTTCGCAAACGGCAGCCTGCCTGGCTCCTGGAAAATGGGAGATGCTATTCCTATCCCCAAGCCCGGGAAGGATCCATGCCGCCCAGAGAGTTACAGACCCATCACGCTGCTCTCTGTTTTACCAAAGTTAGCCGAAGGAATGATTCACCGCCGTCTGTCAGCGTTATTGCCGCACCACCCACGTCAATTTTGGATTTGCACCTCCGCGTTCTACGTCGGACGTGGTGGCACTTGTTGTCGACAAATTACTCGTGGATTGAATGAGTTTGGCATTGTGGAGCATGAGCGTCCTGGAGACGACGCCCCCACACGACGCCCTCGTCGCTTGTGGTCTCGATTGATTTTCCGACTGCGTTCGACACCACTGACCATGGGAATTTATTCTGCATGCTTGACAGACTTCCGCGCCTTGGCCTCGAACCAAACGCTGGCTGCACAACTACCTGCGGGGCTGCCGTGTTAGGGTATGCACTCGTGAACAGCACTCCCGGAAACAACTCGCCTCAGCTGGAGCACTGCAAGGCGGCGTCCCGCGACCCCAACTCTTCCTCTACTGTGTGGATGATCTGCTGCGCCGCCTGGGCAGCATCTACTCTGCCGCCGCATTCATGTACGCTGACGAACACGCACTTGTTGCCTCAGGTGCGGACATCCATGCCTGTGCTGCGGCAATGCGACCGCTCTTGTCTCTTGTTGCCACATGGGCTGCCGAGCACAGCCTAAAAATCAACGTCGCTAAGAGCGAAGCTGCTCTATTCTACATCTCTTCACACACACACGGTCTGACGAGGACATGGTCGATCTCCATCTTGTTAGCGGGAACCTGCGTATTCAGCCACGCCCAGTGCGCTTGCTGGGCAACACGTTCGATTGACTTCTTAATTTTGTTGCGCATGCTTCCACCGCTGCAAAGAGGACCATGCCACGCCGCTATCAGCTGCGTCTGGTCGCAGAAGCGGGCGCGTCCCATCACACCATGCGATCCTTTTTGATTGGATACGTTCATGTTGTGCTATTTCATAGTGGCGAGGCAATTGTCCCGTGACTCGCCCCCACTTACCTCCATAATATGGAAGTACGGTACCGCGACGGTAGCAAAACATTCTTTGGCTGAGCGCCTCTACGGAAGACACATCTGTCTATTTTGGAAGCCATTATTTC